TGCCAATCATAACATTTAATTTACTGAAAACTTTCAGCCGTGTCAACATATCGGCACGTACAAAACATAGGGTGGGGCTTGGGGTCAAGGACCCCAGGCAAAGTATTTTGGTTCAGTTAGGCAATGTTTGCGGACTTCCAGAATGGTCAAAACAAACAAATGTACCAGGCACCAAAGGTTACACAGCATTATGGTTAAGTATTCAGGTGAAAAGGGTAAATACAAGTTAACGATTTGGATAAGCAGACATAAGAAGCGGATGAAGAAGAGAAGGAAAAGGAAAGGAGGAGAAGAAAAGACCCTGCAAAATTTGTTGACTTTAGGGCTGAGGTCCAAGGCAGGGGTGATCCCTACACTGGGTCTCATTCTCCGCCTCCTAAGCCCCCCTCCCCCCCCACAGCAACAACGAGCAAGGGATGGGGGGACCAATCGTAAAAGTCCTTTTGTGCTTTACATTTTGAAAATTTGCAGCATGTTTCAAGTATGCTCGTAATTGGTTGTCAGTTATGGCATTGGTTCACATGTTTCATTTTCTGTCATTTGGTATATGCCTGGACAAGTAAATTATAGTAACTCTTTCACAATATGTTTTGTTACTGTATACACATATACTATAATGATTAGTCCTGTAGTGACTGTACTACATATAATTAAGTATGGATTTTTTAATCACATGCCGCCGGGGAAAGAGGAGAAAATGCTGTGCTCATTTTTTATATATTTGTGAAAGGCCTCTGCTAGTGCATAGCCACAATGGTTAATGGTTAAAAGCAAAATAAGTGTGTTAGACATCTAAGGTCACGTAGCACTATAGTAAATGCTAGTGAAAGGTGGTTGAGTTAGTGATTGGTTGTCAAAGCTGGGCAAAGGAATTGACGAGTGAATGGGTTAAGGTCGGGTAAGGTAATGTAAAGGGGTTGATCAAGGGAAGGATATATATGTGTTTGAGGAAGGAAAAAAAAGGTTGTCAAAGCAGAAAGTATATAGTGGATGGGTTATAAGAGGAAAGGATGTGACGAAGGTCGGGTCTGTGAGAACGGAAACCGCGAATATTTTAATAAAGGATAGTTATACTTCCGTTGATTTATGAGTGATAACGGTTGTAGTACGTGTTGGAGAATTTGAAGAAGGAGCTAGAGGGTAGGATAAGGAATGAGAGGGGGAGGTGGTATTGTATCAGGAGGGGTATTAGGAGGTGAGGGTCTGGGGAAGGGGATAGTTGTGACATAAGGGATTCACGTGTGTAACCAAGAGGGAGTAGAAAGGAAAGAGGGGATGGCGGGAGGGTTAATGTGGGTGGGGTTGGAGTATGGGAGGACGGGCTGTGTTGGGAGGGGGTAGGAGGATAGGGCGTAGGGGGATATGAGTAGGAGAAGGATGGATATCGGCAGTCACTTTGAGTGTGGAGGGAACGGGAGTTGTGGAATTTGAAAGTGGATGAGGGGTTTTAGTGTCAGTTTGGGACTCGAGTAGATAGTTTTCAATATCTTCAAGAGTTTCTGCAATAGAATTGGTTGGGGAGTTTTATGAGACAAAGGTTTTCTTGTGAGGGTGGAATAGAAGACTGGTGTCTGAAGTGTAGGAACAAAGGAAAGTGGCGGTGATCGTGTGAAGGGGAAGAGGGAGTGGAAAGTTTAGTCTGTCTGCTGCGGGTGGTGCGGGGAGGGAGAAGGGAAGGTGTTAGGGCTGTAGTAGAGATTGGAGTGTCTGGATTTAGGATGGCAAAAGAATTTGACTGGGGAAAGTAGGAGGTAGAAGAGGGAAGTTAGATGGAGGAGAGATAGGTTTAGGGGAGGGTGTAGGAGCTTGTGAGGTAGGGGCAGTAGTAGAGTGAGCGACATTAGTGGAGTAGGGAGTAAGAGAAAAACCTCGTCGACGTGTTCCCTGTCTGGCTTCACGTAGAGTGAGTCCAAATCTGAATCTGAGAGTTGCTACTTCAGATTCAAATTTGTATGTGGGGCAGCCCTTATAAAATACATTATGGGGGCCGCCACAGTTGGCACATGTGCGTGATTGTGCAGAGCAGTTTGATCGAGTATGGCCAGGTTGGGCACATAGCTGGCATCTGGCTGTGGAACAGCAATGTTTGGCTGGATGTCCTAAACGCCAACAATTTTGGCACTGACGAGGAGGAGGTTGATATGGTCGGACAGGGAGGGATTCTCCACCGATGTAAACATTAAAGGGAAAGTAGTGTCTACGGAAAGTAATTTTGGCAATATTAGTGGGGTTCTTACGATGACCTCTGGGAGGAATGGAGTAGCACTGTACTGATATCGCATCAAAGTCCGTGAGACAGGCGAGTAAGTCTTCTCCACAATCTGACCAATTTTTGTTATAGATTGGGCAATTTGCTGGGGAGATAGAAATAGTTCCGGTGCAAGTATTGAGGGTTGGATGGGGTTCTGCAGGGATGGGATGAGTTAGATTTGATAATGGTATAGCTTGGTTTTTATAGCTTTGGTTTTCGGGTCGGCTACGGAAAGAGACTTTTCCTACTTGTTTTTGGAGATATTGCTGTAAGAGAAGGGTGTTGTCAGAATAGGGAGCTGTGGGAGGGATCACAAAAAATCGGTGCCATTTGGCTGGGCTAAATAGAGTATTTAAGATTTTTGTAGAGATGGGGGTAGTGTAGAAGAGGGAGTAGTGTTGAGGGAGGTACTGTTATGGAGAGGTGGGCAATAAGGCTGTAAGGTATTAATAAGGGAGGATGGGGTAGTTGATGAAGGTTGTGGGGGTAGAGGTGTTGAAGTTGTTCATGTTGAGAGAGTAGAAAGGTGTCCTGGGGGTTGAGTGTTGACTAGGATGGATACTGTACTAGAAGGCATTGAATGGTTAATGGTTAATGGTTAAAAGCAAGATAAATGTGCTAGACATCTAAGGTCATGTAGCACTATAGTTAATGTTAGTGAAAGGTGGTTGAGTTAGTGATTAGTTGTCTAAGCTGGGCAAAGGAATTGGTGAGTCAAAGGGTTAAGGTCGGGTGTTAGATTAGATAAAGGATATGTATGCGTTTGAGGAAAGGTTGTTGATGCAGAAAGTGTGGGATTCTGTAAGGATGTCTGATAGGTTGGGAGGTCGGTGAAGGGAGGATAGGTGGGGGAAAGCAGAGGTACGGGCTGCTTCAAAACGTGGGCACGACAATAGGATGTGTACGATTGAAAGGGGAACATTACATAAGGAACATAGGGGTGGATCAGATTGTGACATCAGAGTAGACTGAAATCACTGTGATCCAACGATGAAGGAATATACGAATAACTGTGCAAGGGACATTGGTTTGAAAGGGTGGTGTGACATAAGGTGTTTTCTGATTGATAAGTATGGACAAGACATAAAGGGAATGTGGGGAAGAGACAAAATGATAATTGGGGATTGGTATTGGAGGATGTGTAAGAAAGGTTTCTTGAAGGCATACAACAGATGGGTTATAAGAGGAAAGGATATGACGAAGGTCAGGTCTGTGGGAGTGGAAACCGCGAATTATTCATGAAGGATAGTTATACTTTCGTTGATTTATAGATTGCAGTATGTGTTGGAGACTTTGAGGGGGAAGCAGCTAGAGGGTGGGATAAGGACTGAGAGGTTTGAGATGGGAGAGATGTGGGAGTTGGTGTTCTATCAGGAGGGGTATTAGGAGATGGAGTTGGGGTTGTAGTGGTGATTGGAGTACCTGTAGTAGAGATTGGAGTTTCTGGATTTAGGATGGCAAAAGAGTTTGACTGGGGAAGGTAGGAGGTAGAAGTGGGGGGGTTAGATGTAGGAGGGGTGGGTTTAGGAGAAGTGTTAGAATGAGAGAAGGCATTGAAGAGGGAGTAGTAGTTGTAGTGTTTGGAGCCGTGGTCAAAGGAGAGCCTGGGGTTAGGGAATCGGGAGAGTTTAAATTGTTGGGGCTATTTGATGAAGGGGCAAGCCTCATTGCCCCTAATAGTGGAATAACATCATTGTTGGCGGTGTGTTGGGGAGAGAAACAGTACACCCCTCAGGGTTCCCACCTTGAGGGGTAAGGGCTAAGCAACTACAGCCGAGGAATACCGCACCCATGGCTCCCTCAGTTCAGAACTGGCACAAAGTCAACCTTTCTTCCTTTCAGTACGGCTCTCACACCTTAGGAAATGGATAGTAAAAGGGGTTGGTGAAGGGACAGACACGAAAAAGTAGGAGGGGAAAAAAGACCAAGCAAAATTAATTGAGTCGAGGGCTGAGTCCCAAGGTTGGGGAGTTCCCCATCATTGGGTCCCAGTCGCCACCTCCTAAGCCACCGTAACAACAACGGGCAAGGGATTGGGGGGGATGCATAGCCACAAAGGAGTCAATTAATAGACCTTATGACCTTACCTAATTTTTTTCTAGTGCTATGAATGTAGATGGTATTTTTTTTATTATAAACTTTATAAATACTATAATGTTATAAATATTAGTAACAACAAAATAAGATAATATAAAGTATTTTCGTAAATCAAGGAAAAGGGTAAGCAGGCAAGACAGGCAGTACTCGTAATTGGCTCATTGGTGACTTAGTACAAGTGTTGAAACAATTAATAAAGTAAACTCAAAGTAGGTATGGTATGCATGTATATGCCATGCCCACTGTCATTGGGTTAATCACCAACAGCAGACAGTACTATAATTATAAAACTTTCTTATATGTAAGATTACTAGAAATAGAGAAATATATTACAGTGCATTTAAAATAACCAGGCATTAGATTTAGAAAAACACAAGCCTTATTGAAAATTGTCTATATGTGTAGCTTAGAAATTTATGCAAAAAAATCTAAACCATATGAAAATAATAACATTAATGACTTAAACTGCCTATCACTCTATATGCAGAGAGAGTATTAATGTGCCTTTAAGAACTGTATATATTAATTCCTTGCAATCAACAAGAAATATAATAAAACATTTCATTAAATGTACAAATCTTTCTTGTAAACTAATGACCTTTATATATTAGATTTCAGTATATACAGAGGTTATAACAAATAAAACTCAACC